GGAAATTATTTTACATATAACCATTGAATATCCAATATTAAATAATAAAATAAAATAACACGATTTTTGACTTTAGAGGTCAATTACTCATAAAAAACAAATCGTTGGGATGTCTTTCTGTTTTTATTCAGATAGTACATTAAATAAGTAACAATTAAGTTTTGAATTATGTAAATGTTCCGTTGCTATACAAAACTTCAAAGTCGTCCGTTTTTACAGAAAATTATGAGATTAATGTCTTTAATGAATCATTTTAACATTTGAATCAGCTTAAATTACCAATTTTATCAAAAAACAAATGAGTCAAACGTTTATCGATTCAGTAAAAATCATTGCCCGTGGCAATGATTTATTTGCAATTTTTCGTAATTATTTTTAAGTTAGGATTTTGTTTTTGAATAATACACCAATTTCTTAAAATTAAAAACTATCTATAGTATTGCATCGAAGCGTTTCTTGTGATAGTGATTTTAATCACTGTCGGATATCATCTATACTAGTCCCAACTATGCTGTGCCGCGACCCCAATGTGCTACCATTTTTTTTTTTTACTATCATAACAATTTCTTTTTCATTTTTATAGAGTGTACTCGTTTCATCAATCATGTTTGTGACGTTTTGCGTTGTATCCACTTATGGTAACAAATATTATGTTTTATATAGTTTTAGTTTAATGTTAAATTATAGTAATATATCATAGGTCTTTATGATATAACTTCGAATGGAATAAGTTCCACAAGTATAGATGAATAGATGTCAAACTTAAATATAAATATATTCAAAAATGTTTAAATTATAACAGAGTTGAAAATTATCTTGATTTGGTATACCAATATATTATTACATATAATGTAATAAATATAATATAAATAAAGATGTTTCACTATCATTCTATATACATATGCATGAAGTATTAAATTTGATGTTTTATGAATAGCTACAAAAATAGCTTATTGTATTAAAGTACATTGTGTTCATCTACAACAATAGAACTTAATAAAAGAGTGAAAACATACTTTAATTAAGATATTGAAATCTGTATCATTAAAATGTGTTTTAAACATATAAATACGTAACACAATCATAACCTAGAAACTGGAGATCAATATACAGAATGATTTTTTTTCTTAACCCAATCCACTATTGAGAGAATAAAAATAATTTTGATATATTTTTTATTTTGCTATTTTTAAGTCTTGTTCTCATGTTATTAGTTATGTAATACTTTTTAAGTTTATGCCTTATGTATATTAAAGGCAGAAGTGTCGTGGAGCGTATACGCGGGTATCCGGCGTATACCCACTTCTTTGTTTTTCTGTTATTGCGTATACTTATAAAATCATGAGTGATACGCGGGTATACGGCGTATACCCACTGTTAGTTTTCTTATTAGTGCATATACGTATTTATAAAATAGTTAAAGAGTATAGACTAAAGAATAAAATAAAAAGTAATATGTGGGTATCGAATATAGGTACGTTTGTCATAAAACATAAATTTTGAATAATTCTTATCAGTTTGTTTAATCTCTACAGTCATACCACATATAAACATATATCTGAAGTTATAAACACACAAATATGGCTTGAGACTATTATCATTTTAAAAATAGAATATAAATGTAAAACAAAACACTGTCAAAGTGTATAAATAAATATCAATAAAATAAATAGGATAATGTTTATCATTTCACGAAAATTTTATTGACATTTGACAAAATTTAAAACATCGACAAGAAATTAACGATATAGCACATACTAAGTTGAAACTGAAAGTTATTGGGTTAACCTATAGCTGTTGAAATTGGTAATTTGTATTTTTCCGTAATAAACCGTTTACCAACCAATCTAGTATTTAATATATTACCTATAATGAATTAAGATAGTACTAACATGTACCTATTCACGTTTATTTCATTTATGTTTTAACGATTTGAAAACAATGATTGTAAGATTATTTTATTACTGCATAAAGTTTATTGTTTATTTATAAAAAATATAACAGTATCTAATAATATATTTATCGATTGTATGATTATGAAATTTAATTTATGTAAGAACTTAGAAGTGTCAGTAAAAATATTCGAGTAATAGTTTGGAAGTTGGAAGGAGCAACTGGGAGGGTTAAGAGTTTTAGTTGCATTATGTAATAATTAGAAAATACATATACAGTTAAAACATCACAATATTTGTATTCCGTCCCCCAAAACTATGTTATAGTTAAGGCCTTTAAAAAGTAGTGTGGGGGTGAAATTCCCCACGTTTCCTCATTTAGGTTTTTAACTTATCTATTGATCAAATTACGACTATATCACTGTTGATAATGTGAAATATTGTATGTAGAAAATATAAAGTGCAATGGGGGGTGTGGGGGGCAAAGCCCCCCACGTTATTCTCTATTCATTATATAGGCGTATACCCATAAACATTTTTAGGACTACACCACTGATTAAAGGTCTTCCATTTATTTTTGAAATGGTAACATATTTTAATTTAATAAAATGTTTGAGGTTATATTTTAATAGTAAATAGTGTTAGAAATTTTATAATTCTGCGTATCTGCAAATATCGACGATATAAGAATAAACAAGTATCTACATGTATTTCTAATTCCTCGTTTATTATACATGAATATTGACTCAAAAATTTGAAACTTAAAAATTAAAAAGTTTTATATTTAATAAACAAATAAAGTTATATTTAAAATTAAATTGAATTTATTATTCAATAATACTTGAAATATAGAAAGTATGACATAGGTAAAATTATTTTTATTTTGTGAGTTATAATGAAAAAATCACTATGTATATTAAAATCTATATTACCGTAAAATGCTTTAGGGTGACTCATTTTTAAATTAGATGTATTTCCATTAATTAACGCCTGTATAAACAAAACATTTCGNCATTTTTAAATTAGATGTATTTCCATTAATTAACGCCTGTATAAACAAAACATTTCGATAAATGTTTTTTTTGACATACATTCCGTTTTTAACTAAAAAAAAATTTTAAATTATTAATCTTTTTACTAAAGAACTACTATCAATAACCTTTTTTTTGAGCTGGGTAAATTTTTATTTTTGATACTGAATGTTGTATTTAATAATACTTAAGCTAAGGAACTAAACATTTAACAAAAAATTAAAATACACTCTTTGTTGATAGTTTTAAAAATTGAGTTTGACAAAAATTGAGTTATGGAATGTTTATGCAATTTTATTATTTTTTCTCTGATGAGTTTTTTGCCATTAATTCCAAATACGCCCTTAGTTTTCCTTCATCATCAATATTTTGTTGGGTGGAAAGAATATTCCACGACTTAAATAATCTAGGGATATTGTTGTCAACGCTTTTAGTGTTTCTAATTTTATTCTGATAAGTATTGAGCATTACATGATTGTTATTTTAAGATGGGACACGAATCATTAAATGTACATATATGCTATCAATAAGAAATTGAGTACAGTAGTGTAAATACTATGACAGATAAATTATTTGTTTATATATAAAAGGTGTAAAATAAACATTATAAATTTTTCATAGTGCAAAGCATTCGGCATATTACAATAGTTTAGTCATTAAAGTTCATTACAGTATTTACAACACAGATTCGTCTTGAATATTTAATATTAATTTATTAACAATATTGTTTAGTAATTATTCATAATTATGGAACTTTGATTAAGAAAACTAGCTTTATTAATTTTTAAATCATTTTAATAAGTACTAATTAAAAATAAATTTGATATCATTCTGCTTCAATTGGGAAAAATGTACATTATTATTACAAATATCACGTTAATGTATATAGCAAAACTGAAACATTTTACTTTATAAAAAAATCATATTTAAATATATACTTAATGGCAAAAGTAAACGTTACCAAAAAATATTTCGAAAGAAACCAAAGAACTATTGTTTACTCACTTAAATTAAAATTTACTAGATAGACTCCAATTTAAATAATAAAAACTTTTTCTACCTTTGTTATAGTAAAAGTTTGTATAACATTGGTAGATCTAATTTTCTCATTTATCTCTCGTCCAGTCGTCCATTATTATAATATTAAATGTATAAATTATTAGTAATTTTAATATTATGTTTAATATTTAATTAAACACAGTTATTAATAAGATATTATTTATATTAGTATACAGTTAAATACTCTAATTAAAACAATTATTTATTGATTTCAAATTAAATTTCTCAATGATATTAATACAATGAATGCAATATCGTCAATTTTCGGTGTCGTATGATTTGTCCTTGACGTTAAGCTTCCGCGGAAAATAAATATCGATGAGCTCTGAGCGGTCCGGACAACAATAGCACAATAAGAGCCATTCTTAACCTCCAAACAGTTTTTTCACTCGGTACAATCACCTTAGAATATATTTCTCCTTCACAAACGAAAAGCGCAATTTCAACACAGACAAATCCTAATACCATTTAAGTATAATAGCTATCGCTTTATGCCATTTTCCCGCTATAATGGTTTCATTGGTTTTACAACCGAATTATAGATTATTTTAACCACTACTTTATGGCTATATGATCTTTATTGTGCGGTTGCTTTAACCGAACACGTCGGTAAATACTTCCAACCGAATTGAATCGGTTATTTTAACTAAACGTACTTAATAGAATTGCCAACTGAAATGGTTAGTTTTATTATAGTATTGCAGCCATACAATTTTTAATCGTTTACCATTACTAAAATTATTTTTTTCCGTGTACAGATAAGAAAAAATGTATAGTAAAATTAATAATTTTTTCAATTCTTTATTAGCTTAGCATTGTAGCTAATTAAGATAATAAATGGAATTTTGGTTCATTATTTATATTTAAATGGTTGAAGAGGATGAATAAACAACTTTTCATTTAATCGAAAGTTTTAAAGATAAAATCTTGAACATTTTAAAAATAGCTTGAAAATTATTGTGAAATGAAAATAGTAATCAATTATTTATAATGACTAATATTCTTTGTTTTTATGTAGGAGATAATGATACAGGAATCACTGGTAAGTACACATTTTTTAATGGAAATTAGATAGTACAATGTTACAATGAACATTTTGTATGAAAACAAAAAGTATGCATATGTTATGAATTATAATCTAATGGCTAATATTGAAAATATAATAATGTAAAATCTGAAATAATATTAATATATAATGATGTTTACATCATCAACATCTTTGAAGAAAAAATAACTGGGAAGAAACCAAAAGGACGCGCAAAGAAACAATATTTTGAAAATATCATGAAACTCATGAACTGTGCGTCTATTGTTTCACTGAAAAATTTGGCGTCAAACAGTGAGGAGTGGCTTCAATGACAAAGCACTGCCTTTAATAAATAATGATGATGATGTTTATATCTTTCATGCATACAATACACGTTATACAAGAAAAATCTATATTATGTTTTATATTTAAAAAAAAAATTGCATGAATCATAGTTAAACAATCACAATATATATAAAGAGTGACAGATTAAGGATAAGACACTTCATTTTTTAGAAACTATGAGAATTTTTAATTTTTATAAAAAAAAACGGTAGCACAGTGGGGTCGCGGCATAGTGGAGACATTGCATAGTAGGGTCCAGTATAGATTTAANAAAAAAATATTTAGTTCAAAAAACTACAGTTATATAAAATTTAATTTGTTCATCTCTTCAGGAAAAACCTAAAAAACCATCTTTAATTTTCTTAATTGGAAACCACCATTTTTAAAACGATAGAAAAAAAATTTACAAACAAACCTATTACAGAATAATGTAGGTATGTAGCACAGGTGGTTACAGCTCGTGCTGGTGTATGAGCACTTTGCCATGTGGCTATATATACTGCAAATAGTACATGCATTAATAAGTTTAGAATGAAATTTTATTTGTTTTGACAATAAGTATTAAAAAATGAAATAAATTTTTATGGTTATTTAGGTTGTATACATGAAGGCTGTAAAAATACTACAATGATAAATCCAGTAAAATGTAATTTTTGCCCACAAGAGTATTGTGCAGAATGTTATAGTGATATGGTAGACATGGAGAAAATATGTTTATGTGATAATAAAGTTGTAAAAGGTAAGTTGCCTGCGTTTACACATATACTATAATTAAAATATCATACTTGACGTTGTTTTAGAGACAATAATAAAATAACATAAATAGACCAAAAAATATGGTCAATTTATGCAAAACCCACTGATTGTGGGCGCTTATTTAATAAAATCCAGGATTGTGCCAGGTCAACGCCGATATAAAAACCTGTTAAATCGTAAAGTAAAGCCAATCCCAAATAGTTGGAATAGTGACTAATTAGATGAAGATGATACAAGTTAAATAAATATGTGCTATTATGTACAGAGTTATTAATTAATTGTTAACTCTAGATTTTTTCTAAAATAATAATAATTTTGCGGAATTATTTTTTGTTGCTCGGTATAATACTATTTATTTATTGATTTATGAGTAAACAAATGTTTTTTCGGTCAATCCCTTATCTAAGGGTTCAAGCTTTATTTTTTGAAATTCCAACATACATATTTTATTAGTTTAAATAGATTAATGTATTATACAATTATGTAACCTGGTTGATTATAATTTTTAACTAGTATTTCAAGAATCATGAAAATGTTTATACTTAGGTGGGAGAAAGAATACGTTAGAATAATGATGTGCATTAATCTGATCACTTTGCATCATTACACGCGTAACAATTAAAATAACATAACTCATATATAATCAACAATTAAAAATGTTAACAATTAATTATATCAAAGAACCCTTTTAATAAGATTAAATATTTTCTAGGTGGCATAACCCTTCATGCTACTCCTAATAAACGTTCATGTTTGTGATGAAAATAAAAAAATTTATTAGTTTAATTATTTTCTCGAAAATCGGATATTACTTACAATTTTTGTATGAAAAATTTTATAGCATCTTCTCATTCGGGCGGCGTTTAACTACAAAATATATTTTTTTTTTTATTAAGATGACACCATCTAGAAATTTATTCTTTAATGAAATAAATAAGTTCTATAATATTTGGTCAAAAATGTTCATCACTATTTGGTAGATCAAAAAGATCGAAAATTTAATTAAGTGATGGAATTTTTTTAGTTTCTAATATTTTTTATAGAAAGTCGTCGCTTATACGTGTGAATCTTAAAATTTAAAAAAAGGAAATTTTCATGAAAAAATAAGAGTTATACATTTTTTTTACTAAATTTTTTTGAAATACTTATACTTCAATTATTAGTTATAAATATATAATGACCTCTTGTATTAAAACAAGTATAATTAAAATTTATTTTTTAATCATGCTGAAAAACAATTGAAACTGAAATATGCATTATTGTAGTTTAAACAACAAAATATGTTATGTATGATTATAATGATTAAAACATAATTTTCATATTAATAATTAATATTAAATGTTCATTATTAACGGTACACAAAATATTTTATTGTTACATCAAAACATAACTAATTTTGTAGTAAACAGCTATGCACTGTACAATCTAATCATAATCTATTCATGTATATTTAAATGATCGAAATTACTATATTATTTTCTTTGATGATGCGCTCTAATTGGTCCATAATCTTAGATCAACACCAGGATAGGTATTGAAATTATGCGTAAACTTGAACAAATTTTTAATCACTGATTGATCTTCCTATAAGTAACGAAAAAATTTCAATTTTTATTTATGTAATTTTTAATAATTAGATAAATTAATAATTTTATAAATGTAATTCTTGCTAATATAATAAAATTTCATTTTTGAATTTTTATATTTTACAATTGGAATTACATAAAATTTTGAGTTAGTGTATTTTAAATGTTGGCATCATGCACTAGCAAAGTAATTCTCACTACTATAAGTTATATTTGCAAAACATTATAGTTAATTATGATCATGTATATTTTTCTTTTGAATTCACAACATATATGCATATTTAATTAAATATAAATTACTATTAAATTTATTTATTTCTGATAATGATATTCCAATTGAGTAAAACAATATTAATTGTGTATGTATTTTTTTAATCAATCAGTTCCACAGAAAAATTCAGGTATGTTTATTGTTTATTTTTTTAAAAGTTTGTAATATAAATGAAATATAAAATAATATCCAATTTATTTTTTCTGGATATAATATTCCAATTGAGTAAAACAATATTAATTGTGTATGTATTTTTTTTAATCAATCAGTTCCCCAGACAAATCCAGGTATGTTTATTGTTCATTTTTTAAAAAGTTTGTAATATAAATGAAATTTACCAGTTTAATATTAACAGTATATGAAGGTTGTCTATGAAAATTGCATGCTAAATTATAAGTTTTGAATTTAATAAAATTTTTAAGGAGGTTAGTGTCTTTGAACTGTAGTTCTACTATAGTAAGAAATATTCCCAAAGCATATTATGAAATGAAATCTGTAAAAATAAACATTAAAACATTTATGGGAAGTTAAATCTTGAATGTCTTTATATTGAAATATCTTTTTTTGAAATACGACTTTCTTATACTGACAGTCTAATTTAACCACTTTTATCAAAAGGGATACAGATAAAAAGTCCATAATAAGATTCATCATAGCTAATGTATTTATAATAATAAAAATATTAGATCACTGCTTATAATTCTACATACTTGTTTTTTAATGTTAGTTAATTATGATCATGTATATTTTTCTTTTTTCTTTTGAATTCACTACATATGTGAATATTTAATTAAATATAAATTACTATTAAATTTATTTATTTCTGATAATGATATTCCAATTGAGTAAAACAATATTAATTGTGTCTGTATTTTTTTAATCAATCAGTTCCACAGACAAATTCAGGTATGTTTATTGTTTATTTTTTTAAAAGTTTGTAATATAAATGAAATTTACCAGTTTAATATTAACAAAATATGAAGGTTTTGTATGAAAAATGCATTCTAAATTTTAAGTTTTGAATTTCATAAAATTTTTAAGTAGGTTAGTGTATTTGAACTATAGTTCTTATTTCTTACTACTGTAATCATTTCTAACAATAATATTATAATAAAAATATAATTTATAATCATTTCCTTATAACTCAAATGTTTTTTATTTTAATAATACATACTTACATACATACTTGACTTTAAAATTTTAGTTAATTATGGTCCTGTATATATTTTTTCTTTTGAATTCACAATATATGTGAATATTTAATTAAATATAAAATAATATTCAATTTATTTTTTCTGGATATAATATTCCAATTGAGTAAAACAATATTAATTGTGTATGTATTTTTTTTAATCAATCAGTTCCCCAGACAAATCCAGGTATGTTTATTGTTCATATTTTAAAACTTTTTTTATATAAATTAAACTTAACTAGTTTTATATTAATAGAATATATAATTAAAATGTTTCCAAAAATAATTTTGGTATAATTATTATATGAAATTTTTGATACACATATTGTGTTAGATTATATATGATATTATGTTAGATATTGAATGAATAGACCATAGACTATATTTATTTATTTATGGAACAAGCTCAAATTATGCGATACATGTAATATTAAATATAACTATAATACATTTTTAATGTTTACATAATAGATAATTTTTATATAACAAAAAAAATGAGCAGTAATAAATTAAAGAAGTAATTATTAAAAACTAAAAGAGGAATTTGCATTTGTGGCCTTTATAAGACAGATAATTATAGAATTAGAAAGTAGTGTTGTAGAGTAATTTAAAATAATAAAAAGGGCAGAATAATATGTAGAATATAGGGGACTTTTAAACATATATGAAAAAGCTCAGGAAAATTAAACATTACCATGTAAAAGAGAGAAGAGAAAAGTAATATTGATTTCATATCTGCGATAAAACTAAAATAGAAAGTTTTTGGAAGACTGGAGAATAATCGAGCGAAGGATAAGTGATATTAAACTTGTGAGAACAAAGACGTAAATAATTTCTCTGAACCCTTTCGACAATCGTCATTACGTTAGCGAATGTTGTATCCCAGAGTATAGAGCTGTACTCAAGGATGGGACGAGCAAGGGAACTGGAAAGAGCTTTAAGAAGATGATAGGTCGCTTCTCAGGTAACTATGCTTGAGTGCTCGTCAACAGTAGCCTAAGGGACCTACGAAGGATAGCTGGCTAGGATGTATCTACCATAGGTACTGAGGTGCCCTATTTAATATATAGGCTCTTAGAGGAACTACAAAGGGTCACACTACAATAATATATATAACACTCTCGATTAAATAACGATATAGTTTATTGTATAAGCTAACTAATAATACAATCAGCTGGAGACTTAGAGATGTTGTTAATCCAACAGGGAGCTGGTTGTGACACACACACTCGTCGGGTTATGCCGAGTTATATTAAGTTGAGCTGAAATAATGATAATATGTAAGCATCTGAGTGCTCGCGAGGATCGCAAAGAGTCAATTGCTGTTTAGCTTGTATGTATGACCGCGAATATCTAAAAATATTTATATGTTCAGTTTGCCCTTCTGTTAGTATTGTTATGTGTTAATGTATAAATTCCCTAATATCAAGTTGGCAGTTAATGTTAACTATAGAAACTGAGATAAGAGCATTATATGTGATCATATTACGGCAAAACCATCCAAGTCAATTATCTCTCATTTTATCCACTTATCCAACTTATACGTCACTCCACTTAACCATTTAAGGATTTTCTATTATAGGATGTTTTAAATAGTTTATTTATGTTTTAAAAAGGTTTTGTTCTTAAGTGTGTTCTTTAAAAAAACTGTTTTAAAATGTTAGGCCAAACAAAATAAAATATATTATAATATTTTATTCTCATGTTTTTGTTTTAATTAGTTCACGTTGATGATGATGACGACTTCAGCGAATTACGTTAGTATAACAATTTAGTAAATAAGGGATTAATAATTTTTAACGATTAAATTTTTTTTTCGCAGATGAGACATACTCAGGTAAATTACATTATTTGAAGAAAGATGTTATGACAAAATTTTTAAGTCTACGGTTATGGAAATAATAAATAATAATTTTAATAAATTATATTTATTCATTTTTAATACTTAATGAGTAGGTAAAAATTGATACATATACAAAGTGATTCTATTAATACTTATTGGAAATTTTTTTTTTATTTTTGTTAGTTACATTTCTATTTATATGTTATAAAATAATTTTTGAGTCCATACATTATATCTCATAGGAGTGCCAACTTCATTTAAAATTGCATTATATATATTTACCTAGCTTATAAAATATAAAATAATATAATAAAGAAAATAATTGATCGATAACAAGTTTTGGGCCAGTATTTTAGATATGATTTAACGATTTAAAGTAATGCCTGGAGGTAAGAAGCGGGTGCAGCTTTTTTTATCATTGTCATTTCCCAGTCGTACTCTTCCTTTCGCATAGATATGAAAATTACAATATCTTATAAAAGTTTTTATCGACTAATTATTTTCTTAATTAGACCATTTTATATTTTAAAAGCTATTTAAGTATGTATGTTTCCATTTAAAAAATAAAACTGACACCCCTATAAGATATAAACGATCAATCAAAAAATTTTTATATAACAGATAAATGAAATGACATATGTAGCTAAAAATAATAAATAACAATACAATATTTTAAGAGAATTGTATGGCTAGTGTTGAAAAATCACCCTGTATAAATTAAATAAATATAAAAGGTACTCAAGTGAGCTAGGATTAAAGTTTATAAGTCACTATTGCAAAATACGAGATGTGTTCAGAAAATAACGGGAATTTTCATTTTTTATTTATTCGACTACATTAACGTTGTCACTTTAAAAAAAATCCTGATTAGATATTATGCACTTGTGCAACTTTACAACCCTTTAAGGTTTTCTTTATTTTTGGAAATAGAAAAAAGCCTCACGAGTGGCGATATGGAGACTTGGACAATTGTTACATTATTGTTTTTGGCCAAAAATATCACGAACAAGCAATGTAGTATTAGCAGGTACATTACCGTGGTGCAACAGCCCTTAATTGTTTTATGCTGGCATTTTTTTCGGATAGTTTTATGCAAACGGTGTTGAACTTGTAGGTAATACTCTTTATTGGCCTTGTAGTATGAATTCATGTTGCGCTATGCCATTAAAATCAAAGGACATAGTTAGCATAACCTTTAGTTTAATCGCACTTGGCTAGCTAATAAAAACACGTTTAACCTTAGCGGCTGCCAATGACCAAGTGAACAATGAATCTAGCTGTAAATTTTATCATACTTCATGTGCACCAACATTATGAAAACATTTTTTTGGTAATCGGACTCTCCAAATTCGCGAAATTTAATAATTTCCGTTATTTTCTGAACAAACTTTGTATTCCAATAATACAAACAAACATATCGTCGGCTTAGTGTACAACAGATTAATTGTTTTTTAAAATTTTATTAATACTGTTTCTTTAACAATCATAAGATCTCATTTTATTTAATGACATGAAAGTCAATATATTCAATTTTATTATTATCGTAATTAAAATACAATCATGAAACTAAACATTATAAATGGTAATAATAAAATAAAGTAATTAAAAAGAACAATTACAAATATAATCCACTTCAAGCTGACGATATACAACATATTATTCTTTTTTAATAAACCCCGCTATTTTTTTATTTTTGAAATATTTTATGCATGAAAGTTTCGAATCATTATCTAAAAAAAATACTTGAAGCTTTTAAAATTATATGTTGGTGGAAAATTGCTATTATAAATTAAGCGGTGCATATAATTTAAAAATGTATATATTTTTTTTGGAAATTTATATTTTTATTAAATGTTTAAATAACGTTAAGATTATTCTTATATAACTTACTTTTGATTATTTAGTGGACGAGACAATGTTATCGAACGGTATGTTTGTTAAAATTTGTTTTTTTTTTTATAATGAAAGTTGAAACTATACGATAATTACGTGTGTGACAATAACATTGTACTTATTTAGTTAAGCAATGTTACTACCAATTTTTTGTGCTATGCAAATTTATTTTTCTATGTGTGTAATAATTATTTCCCCTCCTCTAATCTATAATTAATTGTCAGATTTTAAATTTGACCTAATGACACCAAAAAACTATTCATTAATATATCACTTAATAAATTTTCTAAAATGAAAAAATTCTTCAATCTTACTTAATATAATATCGGTTACTATTGTAATATTTTTATTGGTTATAATTTTAAAAATATTGCTTTTAGTAGTATATTTTGACATACTTTAGTCATCTAAGTTAAATCAGCACACATGTTTTAACATCTTCTAATAAATTCATAATTTTTTTGTCACTAAAGAAAAGTCTTAAGTCATAAATATATTTAATAAGTAAATGTAATCAATTGATATGATACACATATCATAGATAAACTACATAATTTTATAAAAAAAAATATTTTCTTTAATTTAACTCAGGAAATGAAGATGATTTTGAAGCTCAATTGGGTAAGTACTTTAATTTTTGATAGATATTTTGATGTAATGATTTTTTATTAAAATAATAAATTAAACTAAAAGTTTAATAATATAAAAATGAGGACTTCTAGGTTCGGTTAAAGACCATAATTATTTTGATGATTTTATTTTAATAAATAATCATTAGATATAATTAAAAAGTAAAGAAATGTTATCATATTAAACTTCTTTTAAAATTTTTAAAGAGTATGTAAAACAGCTGTCATGTAAGTAAATAAAAGTCAGTTACCTACTATAAAAAAACAATATTTGAAGTATCGATTCAATTTTTGAAATTAATAACAAATTAAGGGGTTCTTAAAGATCAATTTAATCTAAATCGATTGTATTCATTAAATAATAGTTTCAATTAAAACGAAATAATATTTTTCATGGAAAATATGAAGTCTTATCGAAATTAATTGGGATGGTTTATCGATAAAACTTATGCACATTATTTGAGTTAAATATTTTATATATCAATGTTTTTTAATTCAACTTGTATGATCTATTTTTTGTTTGTGTAGTAAACGAAAGTAGAGCAAGTAAGTTGATACATTTTACGTAAAATTAAATTTTTGCTTTTTTTTTTAAATTACTATAAATATTTCATATAATACTATTCTATTTTTTAATACAAGTAGCGATATACTAATTTGTAGATTTTATATTAAACGCTCGCTGACTCCAAACATCCCACAATATAAAACATAATTTGCTCAATCTATCCAACTAATATTTTTAAAAATCAACCTTCACTACATAAAATGCAAAACTAGCTAAAAAAAATTAATGCTGGACTTCTTCTAAAATTATACGTCTCAAAACACATTTTTTCCGTCTTAGCATGTTAAAATCTTTAGCGTACAGAACAACCAGAAAAAATTCAAACGATATTATACATTTTAAGTACAATAACCATAAAATAACATAAACGATTGAGTCAAACTTTAGGAAAAAATAAGCTTCGAAATAGTATTTAAAAGAAACATCTTTACCTTTCTACCATAAAGAACAAATATATATATATATGCACAATAGATGTTTAAGAAGTTTCAAGAGCCACAGAACAAATAAAAGAATTATGAACAATACAATAATTCTTTTTGCTTACAAAAAAAAAAAAACAAAACAAAAAAAATGAGTGGTAGTATTACTTAATATATGTAATCTTGTGATTAAATTAATATTCATTCATAAATTTGATTGAAGTGAATCAAACGAAATATTAAAAATCAATTTCTTAAATACTACCTTACTGTATTCAATTTGTTAATTATAATTTTTAAAATAATTTTCTTAAAGATCCCCGTGAAAATGACACTTTTGACGAAGAATTAAGTAAGTTTAAAATTTATTTTTTATACATTTAAATATGTTTAGATTATACAATATTTTATTAAATGTATACAGAATTGGTTTTAGAGTTGTCATGTAAGTAAACTAAAATAAGTTAAAATAAATGTAATTTACTATTTTTATAGCTGCCATTTACTTATAGATTATTTTTCTCGTTATATGTTTCTAATCTATACGTTTTAAGTTATTAATAACAATTAAATAATATTAAACAATCAATTGATACCTAATTAATTTTAGGTATTTATTTATTCACTATTGAAATAAAATGTTAATATCTAATGATTTTTTTATGTAGTGAACGATAAAAATGGAGCAGGTAGAGTTCATTATAAATATTAATAATTAATTATTTAATATAGATAAATAAGATCAAAAATTGACCCAAATATCTAAAACACTAATAATATCTTAGAGCAAATAAGTGCAAAAACGTCTGTTTTATACATATATATATATATAAGGTTCCTGCTGTAAATATACCTCATGCTAGCTCTGTTTTTAATATAATTCTAGTTTCAATGGTTGATTTATCATTTAAAAATAAAAAAATAAATATCAAAATTGATATTAGAAAACATGCGGGACGGTGTGACTGAGTCGGTAACGCGGCAGCGCTTGATGCGCACTGCCTCAGGTTCGAAACTCGGTCACGGGCGGCTTCATTTGCCGAACGAGAGATCAGTTCGGTAATTGGATCGCCATCCCACTCTGCGGCGACGGGGACCTGTCCTGGAGTATAAATGGTTAAGAAACCTCCTCGTTTGGGGGAGGCCGCTATGGCCCTTAATGGGTTAATAAAAAAATAATTATATAAAAAAAAATTAGAAAACATACATTAAAATTTTAATAGATAAAATTCATTATTCTTTTCTGGCGAAGAACTAAAAATAATCCATTTTACTAAATTGTTTGTTCGGTTAAAATGCTAGATGAAATACTCGTCTTTTTGCTATTATTAATCCTATAAAATAATAATTGTCTAAATTTTTTCCCTAGGCATGTCTGATGGCGATACGTTATCTGATGATGTATTGGGTATGAATTCAAAAAAAAATAGAATCTTATTTTTAAATAATAATAATATTTCATTTATCATCATTTTTTTTTTTCTATAGCTGAATTTAAAAATATGGGTAACTATACGTTAATAATATTACATATTTTTAAATTAACTGTTTTTGTCCTTTATTAGGAGAATGTGTAGGGTGGGTTCTGCCTCTCAAAGGTGTCAAATAAAAATGAGAGTGTTTCAGTGGTGATGACACAGAGGTGAAGGGGTAACCCAAGACGAACTATAGTAGACGGCGGTGAAACCCCCAAGTGCGCTACCGAATGTCCTGATTAAGTACCCCACTATGTGTCCCAATCGAGTGTTACACAGCAGCGTGTCCTCTCCAAAGTCCGTCAAAATGACGTCATATACAGTGTGCGACCCTAAGCCAGTCGGAGTGTCGTATGTCAGTGCTGACGTTAATATAACGTCACTATAGTGTGTGTGTTACAGTGGTCTGAAATTTATATTTGACCGGCCAAAATTAATATTTTTAGCCCCGTGCGTAGCTGAGAATCTATTAGTTTTACTATGTCTTGTTTATATTTGTCCAATACTTCCGCTTTTATTGGAACAACGATACGTAAAAGATCACAAAACGTATCTAGTTAAAGCTATGAGCGCCATATTTTTAAAAATTACCTCGATCTTGGTAATAAAGAGGATTCTACCAAAGGATAATAGTTGTCATACATTAGTGAATGTTAATATTTTTAGTTTTCTTTTATATTGAAATGACTTATTAAAAACTAGACAGATCACTTCGAAATATTATATGTATAAAACCATACAAGCAAAATTACTGGAAATATTATATAAAAACAAAACGTTGTCTTT